TTTTTATTTGTGGTCAAGTTCTTGGCTAGGTTTGCTCTTGAAGGACAGAAAAGCTTCCCTCCTTGTCTGTCAGTGTTCAGTGAGAATAACGACGCCGAGAGCAGACCGGGTGTGGTGAAAAATGGGGAGATGAGAGTCTTTGATCATCTCCTGGCTCCTCAGTCAGGAGCTTCCTTCAGTCTTTGTCCTCTAACTCACACGGATAGGGAAGATTTACTTCTTGTTTGTTATTCCTTGACAGCATCCTTCCCTGCTTCATTTTTGAGAGTGTCCACTTTACTACTCTACCTGATGATTTGTCCCTTTCCTTAAACCATTCCTGTGTCATGGTTCAAAAGATTGAAGATTCATGAGCTGCCTGCTCTCTCTGGGGTGATTTTTCAGAAATGCCATTTATGCTGTTAAACATGGAGCTCTTTCCTGCCATCTCACAAAGCCTTGGCACTGACATTCTGTCTGTGTTTTCAGTTCTTCTTCTCCTTTATCATATGTGTAACATTGGATCGTAATCGGTATATAGTTGCCAATTTTAGAAGCAACTTGCTCCCAGGACGTGTGTTTTCGTCTCATTGCAACTTGGTGTTGCCCTTGATGAACAGTGATGCAGCACAGAAGCAAAATTAAACTTACGTAGCCACCAGAAGAAAAAAGATTTAAGTGCTTAGACCTAAACCTTGGGATAGGGGCTCCCATTTTGGGGATGGACTCAGATAATTCAGGAAACATCTAACTTTGAGATAAATTCTGAAATTACCTCCAGTCATTATGAAGTTCCTTGTTGTCAGTTGCTTTTGTCGGTATCGAAGTTAAGCGCAGCTGATTTTCTTCGTATGGAAGTACAGAAGAAGCTGAAGATTATCGACAAGTGGATAAGAAACACCAGGTGATTGTATGTTCATCAGCTGTAAGCTTGCTGAAACTTTGAGCAGTCATCATTTGTAAAAAGTCAGAAGTGAACTGGAATTTGTAGTTTGCTCCAGTTCGTGTTATTGGCATCGCCCTCTGCATCCAGAGCGTGCTGGCAGGGGCACTGGCAGTGTGCGTGGGCTTATCTGCAGCATGAACTGTTACGATGCAGAGTCAGCTAAAGCTGAAATACAAACCAATAATCATCTTACTCTTCCTGGAGCTGTTATCAGAGGCATCACTGCGTCAGTTCCTTTAAATTATCTTTCAGAAAGCTTCTGTTACTATAGATAAAGTATTTTCAAGCATATTTTCTAGTATTTTCTTTTGATAGCTGTGACTTTTCTAGATATTCTGCCATATAGTGATAGGATATAGGTTCTGGAGGGAGTTTTCACCAAGACATAACTCAGATCATCAGTGGTTGGTTTCCACGTTTGTTCTTTGTAGTCATTATAGAAAAAAAAACTTCTCCTTCAATAGGACCCTAACTGCTTTGTCTTCAAGAGCCACCTTCTCTGCAATCTGCGAGGCTGGAGCCAGGGAAGACTGGTCTCTTGTATCTTAACCTTTGGTAAACACACTCTTCCCGTGCAAATCCCACCAGTTGCCCGAATCACGTTGAGGGAAGCATTTTCTTCTGGGTCAGCAGCTCTTCCTTGTCCAGCTACACAGCGTGCTGGCAGGTTTTGTCGCTAAACTTCACAGTCAGATCCTGTTGTAAGCCCAAGTTGAGTCTTGCTTGAATCACTGGTTGATAAGGATTATGTAATTGTGTTAAAATGAAGCTTGGGAACAAACACAAGTTCCATTTCATACCAGTTACACCTCTATTAGTTTCTGAACCCGTGAGGCATTTTATTTTCCATACAATGCAGAGGAATTCTGAAAGCATTTTGCACAGTTGCAGATACTGAATCCTTTGTGCATTTTAGAGCACTCTGCACACCTTAAATAATCCACCTCAGGAGGACTAATAAGGATTTCTGTAAAATGTTCCATGGCATGTGTGGAAGGAAGTATGCAGAGGAGTTTAAGGTCTTTGAAGAAGAATTCCAGGGAGACAGTTTCTCTGTAGACTGGAGGTATCTTAAACGTGGAACTGAAAATTGTGGTGCTTGGGATGGGTGAAGAGTGAAAGCTGCATGGCCAGGCAGTATGCAGAGAAAGGATAATGGGGTTCTGGAGCCTGCACACGTGCTGCAGTGAGATCCCAGTCTGTGGCCCGAGGCTCTTGATCCTTAGTTATGAAGAACAAGAGCAGTAAGATGGTGGTGCAGCTCCTTGGGGTATTCATCTCGCAGCTTTGCCTTTTGTTTGTGAGAGTTGCAACGCACACGGCAGTGTCTAACCTTTGTTTGCATTTCAGTTCTGGTGTCAAAAGCTTGGAAGAAGTTTGCCTTCAGGTAACAGATCTTCTGCCTGGCCTCAAGAAGCTGCGGAATCTGCTCCCCGAACACGGCTGTCTGTTACTGTCTCCAGGGAACTTCTGGCAGAACGACCGAGAGCGATTCAATGCTGACCCAGATATCATCAAAACCATCCACCAGCATGAACCAAAGACGTTACAAACATCAGCTACTCTCAAAGGTGAGATGCTGAAGTGCCAAAGAAAATGTGAGAAATGCCTACAGCTTGCATGGCTGTTTCATCCTCGGTATCTCCGACATCTAGACTGCTGAGATTCCTAAATCAGGTGGCGTTTTGTTAGTCACAGCATCTGAAACAAAGCTACCAAATATATGTCATCTCTCATTTTATATCTGTGTTTGAACTCAGTTCTGTATTCGTGGAAAGTGAATAATTCCACTTGGACTCCTTTCTGTAGGTGTAAAAATAGCAAGTGACTTGTCCAAGTCTTTTTATTCTTACTCTACCTGTGCCTGTCTTTTTCCCTCATGCTATTGTCTGTCACACTCAGACTGCCTCATTGTCACCGAAAAATGAACATTTATCCTGCTCCCTCTTGTGTGTTCACTGGTAGTTGCTTGTATGTACCCTGAGTTGACACTGGATATCATAAAAGTATTCTTTTCTCTAATTTGAAAAAATAAGTCTGACAATGCCTGGAATCATATTATTCAGTGATTGCATGAGGCCAGACAAAATGCTGTTCCTTCATTTTTAAATGAACTTTGTAGGTCTCAGGAAGCCGTATCCGAAAAGGAGTTTTGTAACCCTAAAGCGAGTTTGTTTTAAAGGTTGTTTTTTGAGCACCCAGAGCGTGTGCACGCTATGATTTGGAGCACACGGAGCCTCTCTTTGAGGACTCATTTGCAACCAAGTTAGAGGTCCCCAATATCCTGGGAATTCCCGAGAACAGCGATAGTGTTTGTCACGATGCAGAATTTGTTTGAGGTCTGCGTTTTAGCGCACAAGATTAACAGAAGAGACATTAAATAGTCCTTTGCAATGCAAAGTCTGCCTGGAACCTCTGGTTCACATCAGACGCTGACACACACAAAACCAAGGTTTTATTTGGCTGCATCCTTGAAGATAACACCCGTCTCCTCTGTTGAAGGACAAAGTGGGTGCCCACTTGATGTGCACAGGGCGTGGGGAGCAAACAGGAGGAATCAGAGGTGTGTGCAGCTGGAGGGCTACAACCCCATGCAGCTCAGAGAGACGGTGTGGGGTAGCTCACAGTACTGGGGGGCTGCTGGGGGTGGATATGGGCTCCTCAGGAAGGACAGGCTGGGAGGGCAAGGAAGGGGACTCATCCTCTGTGTGACAGAGCCCCAGGAACGCGTGAAGCTTTGCTTCGGAATGGGTGATAAGTCAGTTGAGAGCTTATCGGTTAGATCAGAGGGCAGACCTGCCTGGTCAGGAAAGATAATGAGGACAGATAACTTCCCCACAGGAAGGAAGATTTTTTTTGTGTGCCTGTTTAAAGGGAATTTCCCTTGTTTTAATTGGTGCCCATTGCCTCTTGTCCTGTCACTGGGCACCACTGGGAAGAGACACTCCAGCTTTACTCCCCTGCGTCAGGGATTTAAACTGAAAGAGGGCAGATTTAGGTTAGATATAAGAAAGAAATTCTTTACATTGAGGGTGGTGAGGCACTGGCACAGGTTGCCCAGAGAAGCTGTGGCTGCCCCATCCCTGGCAGTGTTCCAGGCCAGGTTGGATGAGGCTTTGGGCAACCTGGTGTAGTGGAGGGTGTCCCTGGCCATGGCAGGGGGGTTGGAACTGGATGATCTTTGAGATCCCTCCCAACCCAAACCATTCTGGGATTCTATGATTCTATTTATACACATTGATGAAGTCTCACCAGAGCACTGAGAACATGCCTCCTGCAAGAATGATGGTTCTTCCCAGTGAACACCTCTGTGTCCTCTCTTCTTTGTTTGGTCATCCTGGTGTTTCGTTCACACTGTGGTTTTGCAGATCTGTTGTTCGGACTGCCCGGGAAGTACAGCGGGGTGAACCTCTATAACAGGAAGCGGGTGGTGTCGTACACTGTCACCCTGGGTCTCCAGCGGTATGACTCCAGGTAAGGGGCTGTAGCTGTGCTGGTTTTGTGTTAGAGATCCCTCATTCGGTTCTTGGCAACTTTGCTGTTTTCTCTCCTCTGATTATTGTTGTGTTTTTCTTTAATCTCCATTTTCTTGTGTTTTAGAGGATTTTAGAATCTTCTGAGTGTGCTATAGAAAAACAGGTGGCTGGTTTTGGGAAAAAACTTGCTGGGTTTTAGGGAAATAAAACACTATCAGTTCTCAATTTCTCTTTACAAAAAAATACATACAATACCCAAAGCTGCCCATGGGGGTTCCCCTGGTGAGGGCTTCGTCTGCACGCAGAGCTGTCATTGCTGCAGCCAAGGCCCAGTAGGCTGTTTTGACCCAGTTCCTGGTGCATGGAGTGGTTTGCTTTCCAGTAAGCACTAATTCAGCTGGTACCAACTGTGAAACCGCTTTGGCAGTGTTGGCAAAGCCAGCTTGGATTGAGTGGATCTTAGGACTAAATGCTCCGCTCTGCGCTGCACAGAATTCCCCAGGGAATGCCTAGGTCAGGATTGGCAGCACAGGAGCCAGAACTCGCTCTGCTGCCGCCCATGCAAGAACTCTTCAGCGTCAAGGGCTGTCATGTAGCACCTTTCATCAGCTGTACTTATGTAAAATTCAGGCAATGTTTGAGATGACAGCATGTTCTGTTCCTCAGGGCCAAGATTTGGGATGATGAGTCCTTGCTTTAAATAGCTTTGCTGAGTCTTCACAGTTATCTTTGCCTCTTCATGGAAATCAAGGTCTGTGAGATTGCGTTCGTCACATCTGTGCGGTGGCAGCTTGAGCTGCGGAGGAGCAGACTTGGCAGTCAGGCCTAGGGAGAACTGTGCTTTTGAAGTCTGCTTGAATCTACAGAGCTTCTTACTGCCTGATCTATTCCCACGGAGCTCCTCCTTGGACTTGCGTGCCGGTTGTTAGGTACAGTGACATCCTCCTGCTCCCTTGTCATCTCAGGTTCCTCAGCAGCCTCCGCTCTCGCCTCAAGCTGCTGCATCCCAGCCCTAACTGCACGCTGCGAGAGGAGAACATCGTTCACGTCCACTTCAAGGAAGAGATTGGCATTGCTGAGCTGATACCCCTCGTCACCACCTACATTATACTCTTCGCTTACATCTACTTCTCCACACGTAGGTTTGTGGGGTGGAGACCCTTGAGGGGAGAGCAAGCTAATAAGCCACCTGTGCACTTGCCAGCTGTAAGGGATCAGTGGCATGGTGCCCTTTCCCTGGCTATAGATAAGAGAGACTCGTGCCCACAGCGGTTCCCTCAGGAAAGGTGGTGTTGACATTTGCCCCTGAACTGTCTCATAGAGAGTTAGTAGTCCTGCTTATCTGATTTCTGCTAATTTGTCCCTCTCAGCCAGCGTGGTGTTATTCCTTGTGATATCTTCTGAGGTGTTTTCTGGTTTAGGCAGCTTTGAGTGCCACAGTAAGGACATTTTTTCCAGTTTAGAGAGACTAATTTGTGTCAGACAGATCAAATACACGTTCTGGTGGTCTCAGACCTTACTAGCCACATTTCAGTTCCTTTTTTAATGCCTCAACAGTGCTGTGCTGGAGCTAGTTTGAGCTGCAAGCCACGCGTTATCCTCTGTCCCACCCTTCTTATAGAACCTCTTACGTTCTGGGGGGGTCTCAGACCTGGGAGCTGCATTTTAGGCATTGAAGCTGAGCTACCATTACTCCTGGGTCGCAGGGTATTGGGCTGCCTGCTGAAATAAGTCAGGATGAGGATCCCTTCTTGATTTTTTTATTGATACAGCATTTTCTTTTGCTTGGTAACCGAGACTGTGCGTTCTGTTTTTCAGGGAAGATTGACATGGTGAAATCCAAGTGGGGCCTGGCGCTGGCAGCGGTGGTGACGGTGCTCAGCTCTCTGCTCATGTCCGTTGGGCTGTGCACGCTCTTTGGTTTGACGCCTACTCTTAATGGAGGGTATGTTTCAGCACCAGACCTCTTCCTAGAGAAGGGCAGATGGAGGTGAAATTGTTTGAAAACAGCTGCTAAATGCTTGGTCTTTGAGATCTTAGCAGATCTTTGAGCTTAGCAGTTGGCTCTTTCTGCCTAAAGCAGAAGGAATTGTTGGGACAACGTCTTATTCGTAACTCGATTTCCTGGCAACTAGGTAGACTCTCGCATACCTTCCTCCTGCAGTGACTTCTGGTAGCATCCAGAAGGGTTTGTTACGTTTTCTCTGGCTGATGGAGGTTTGTCACGTTTGACTCACAGAAATATTTAAAGGTGGCAGAACTGACCTGTGGTATTTGTGCCTGGGAGGTGACTTCGCACCCACCACTGACAGTTGTGGGCTCTTCTTTCAACTGGGGCTCCTGTGCGTGTTAGAGTGGGCGTTTGGGACTTTTGATGTGGTTACTACGATGTGTTATATTTGTATCAAACTGGAAACCCCTGAGAAAACTCCAACTGGCACCTGACCTGCTTGAGTTCTACACACTCTTCATTTCTCAGTAATTAAAGTTCAGTTCAGAATCTTTCTTTTGTTTTTCAGATCCCTTTCCTAAGTAGTTTAGGAAATATCTATCATTTTTCTTCCCATCTTCTTTTCTCCCCACCACAGGAGCAATGAAAAGTCTGGCCTATGAGGGACACTCCTCAATGCTGGTGGTAGTTTACCAGGAGCCAGACCTAGATGGAGGAATTCCTCTCCTAGAAGCCTAAAAGAGCTATGAGTAATTGACTTTAGAAGATGAAGTATTTGCTGTTTCTGGTTTTACTGCCTTGGAACCTTAATTGTGGATCAATTCCACGTTGTTCTGTGAGCTCTACAAATAAAATAGATACAATCCACTGGGATTTCACAGTTTTAATGCAAGAAAAAAGGCAATATTTGGATGCAGATATGTGGGAGGAATCCAAGGGAACAGTTTTGGTTAGTGCAAGAACCAAGATCTTTGTACACTGTCACCCTTACTGTTGTCACGCAGAAGGACTAAACTGATCTAGTTATTCCTCCTACAGGATAGAAAGAGTTAATTCAGTCCTTATTTGTAAAAATAAGTTTCCAGCAAAATTTCTTTGCCTTAAAATGACTGCATAGACAGTTTCCTTTGGAGATGAAAATTTTTGCCATGCTCTATAAATGATGGAAGACCCTTGGGATTCTGTGGTGATGGGGTCTGATGACACTGAGGGTTTTTCCACTTTTGACAAGTGACCCTTTCCTGATTCCCCAGTGTCTGCTGGAGCATTTTCCCTCGTTACCTGATTCCCCACTGGGCACAGAGTGTTCTTGGAGTGTCATATACCAGTGGCAACATGCTAGGATTTGGCCAGCTTAGGGTGCAGAGTCTGGTTAAACTTTGATCTTTCAGCCTTTTTTATCAGTTTTGCTTACAGCAGAGCCTGCCGGATGTGGGTGTGTTTGTTTCTAATGGTACCTGTATTTATCATAAGCCTTTTTCCCTCTCTGATTTTTGTAAGGTATTAGAATAAAGCTTGTTGCTTACAGATTGGTATAATGCATAAACTGGACCTTAATCATTATTCATCTTCTGTAACGAAGTAAACTTATTATAGGTGAGGTAGGCATTAGTCTTGTTTCACAGGAAAGAAAACTAAGTGGAGAGAGGTGGCATGATCCATGCAGGGTTTAAGAAAGAATAAAGAGTGAAGTTGAGCAGAATACGTGGAGTTCACTGGAAGTGGGATCCTGCAAGCTGGCAAACTGGGAGAGTCTCTAGATGAGTCCAGAGCAGAAGCCACCAGCCCACAAGTTGGCATCTCAGCTAGGTTAGAGGAATCGCGGTCGAAAATAGGAACTAATCCTCCTCCTTGTTGACCAGAAAAAAAAGTCTAAACTGACTATAAGGAAAGCTGGAGAGGGACTTTTTACAAGGGCATGTAGTGATAGGACAAGGGGCAATGGTTTTAAACTGAAGGAGGGCAGATTTAGGTTAGATATAAGAAAGAAATTCTTTACATTGAGGGTGGTGAGGCACTGGCACAGGTTGCCCAGAGAAGTTGTGGATGCCCCATCCCTGGAGGTGTTCAAGGCCAGGTTGGATGGGGCTTTGGGCAACCTGGTGTAGTGGAGGGTGTCCCTGCCCATGGCAGGGGGTTTGGAACTGGATGATCTTTAAGGTCCCTTCCATCCCAAACCATTCTATGATTCTATGACTAGCTCGAATGTGAACATTTACATTTTCGATAACAGAAGCTGAAGTGATAAATTCCTCAATCTTCCAAACGTTTTGGATAAAGCAGAGATTGTCTCTGTTCACAAGTATATATGGAGTCAGAGAAGATCTGTCTTCTTTAGGAGTTAACTGTACCGTTTCTTTTGGCTCTCTGGGATGCTGGATCATGCTGTGATGCAGCACCTTCTGACATCAAAGTGATAAGTGAAGTGTAAATGTTTCAGTAGATGGACACCATATGATGTCTCCTCTTGCTCGTCATCTTCCTCTTGTAAGCTCTTTCTCAGTGCTTGGCACTGTATGGCAGAAAGTATAGAATCATAGAACGGTTTGGGTTGGAAGGGACCTCCAAGATCATCCAGTTCCCACCCCCCTGCCGTGGGCAGGGACACCCTCCACTACACCAGGTTGCCCAAAGCCCCATCCAACCTGGCCTGGAACACTGCCAGGGATGGGGCAGCCACAGCTTCTCTGGGCATCCTAAGAAATATAACGAGGATCTCTTGCTGTCTGCCTCATTCTGAATGGGGACAAAAAAATCAGAGATTTTGGAGTTGCAGGGCTTGTGTTTGTCCTGCACAGAGTCACGTTACTCTTCAAGAAAACCTAATGCCTCATTGCTTTTAACTCCTGGTCTTTTAATGCGACAACTGCTGACTCTTCAAGGACTATCGAAACTCGTAACGTGGGACTCTGAGTCAATTGTCTCCTGCAGTAGAAGCCACTGTTTAAAGACATAGTTGATGAGAGAATTCCAGGTTTCTTTGCCGTGTTTGGACTGCCCTGTGAAGGCTGGCGGCAACTTATCTGGAAATGATGCTAGACCCCTGCGTATCTTGCAGGACTGTGCGCAAGGACGGCGCCCTGCAAGGGCTCTGCAGGAACATACCCTTGCAGATAACGTGCTCCATGGGCCGGGCAGCAGAACTCTCCCTTGTGTTTGTTGGCTTCTCTTTATTTAGCAATTCCCATTCCAAAGGATTGCGAAGAGCTGTTCTCACATCTGGCTTTTGTCCTCCTGCTTGGAGGAATGACGCAGGTTATGAACTGAAAATGCTTTCGATAAAGGCAGAACTAAGTTGTACTTTCTCGATTTTGGATTCTTTGACGTTAACAGGAAGCTGCCCATGAGAGGCTTATATATATTTTGTGCTTTTTTCACTAAGTAGGCGCAGGTTTTGGACAAGAGGTGAATGGACCAGTGTTTTGCACAATTGGTAGAGGTCAAATTTGGTCAGGATGCCTAGAGAAACGTGCGTGGAGCGTGTTTTTTGGTTTGTGGAATCTTGCTTTCCATGGAGCTCTTGCTGTTCCAGCGTACCGTTTGCTCAGGGAATCCGTTGGAATGACTTGGCTGAGTTAGCAGTGGTTCCACTGGTTCCGGGTGGTTTTCCCCAGCGGAGCTTGTCAGGTACAGGCTGCTGACAGCTGTGTGCGTGCAGATGTTGAAGCCCATGTCAGATGGCTGCAGGCCATCGAAAGCAGCGTTTGGGAAGATGGTCCTTGGGGGTTATGGCAGAAAGCGGGAGATGTTCTTCCAAAACCCTGGCTGTTAGTGATTTGCCAAGGGGGGTGTGTGTGTGTGCACGCACGCACGTTCTCCTTTTGGGTCTGTACATACCAGCACAGCACAAATCCTTTACCCTCCACGGTGAAAGATTTAGTATTTTGCTTAAGTTTAGCTGGAGGGAAGTGAAGAGATTTACTGTCTACCATGTTCTGGCATGGAACAGCTTTTTTCTCCGATCTGGACTGCAAGTAGTTCAAAAGAGAGAAAAAAATTCAGGGGTGAGAAGAAGAGTTGAATAAAATCACGGTGGTGACCGTGGGTAGCCTTGCTCTTCTGCGTGCCTATTTTCTGAAGGGCAAATCCATTCCGGTGTTTTCTTGACTCTTGAGTAGAAACTACCCCTGGCTGGATTTAGTTTATTTATGTACAAAGCATACGTACATCGCGTGTTGTTCTCAGTGTTGCAGCTTCTCAGCAACCTGGAGTACTGAGAACAGAGCTCCATGCATGTTAATTATCTCCTCCCAACAAAGAAGTCCCTTCATGTGTCTTCTTCGCTGCCCAAGACTGGATTGCTTACAGCAGCTGCAAGGTGTGGAAGCTTTTGCCCACTGGGTATCTGAACCAGGCACTGCACGTGCTCTTCACTTGAGAATTTTTTTTGAAAATTCTGTTCAATGTAATGCTTAGCCACGATTGACCGGGATTTTCACTGGTGGTGGTGGGACGTGCTCCCTGCCCTCTTGTTGCAATGCTCTCTCGCTGACTAATTAATACTGAGTCTGTCACGGTGGTGTTCAAAGTCCATTTTTGAGCAAGAGATGAGCATTAAGACTAATTTAGTGGTGGTCTACAATGGCCATTTTCCAGAAAATCATGCAGATTTGCAAAAATGTTAATATCTGTCCAAAGCAGATGAAATGCAGAACCCTCACCTCATCATGGAGCAGTATTGTATGAGATTTGGCTGGGAGCACCGGGTAGTGTTTCCTGGCCCTGACTCTGGGATGTGTATTTGCTATTTAACTTGCTCTCTTCCTTTCTTTTCCACCGAGGATCTCATTCTCAGTTCTGGTTTTGTTTCCTCTAGAGAAATATTTCCATACTTGGTTGTGGTGATTGGCCTAGAGAACGTGTTGGTTCTCACCAAGTCGGTTGTCTCTACGCCCGTTGACCTGGAAGTGAAGCTACGCATCGCCCAAGGTACGCAGCCTGCTCGGGAAAAACGTCGAGATAGAGGAAATTAGGGTAACCCAAGGACTGGGATGTGGGGAATTGTCTTAATTCTGGTCTGTGAAGGAAACAAGGACTGTGCGTGTTGAACATGGATGGTATTCTGTTAGTCTTTTCGTACTGTTTTTGATAATTCCAAGAACTAATGCAAGCTTGGAATTGTGGCCACTGTTAAGATTGTTGACTGAAGCATTGGCTAAACAAATTCTAAAAAGTGTTAGTAAGAGAGAGCTGTATCTGCTGGTATAGACATTTAGCACCTTGTCCTCTCGTGTGGTGAATATCGTCAGTGCAGCCCACAGGTCATACCAAGTTCTGCTGAGTCTGTGACAAAGTGGCTTCTCTACTATAGATACGCTCTGCTCCTGCAGAACTATTTGAGCGTGCTCAAACCGTGGAGTTTGCAAACTTAAAAGGTGTTTCTAAACATCAGGGAAGAGAGATTCCAGAGTAATGCCCCGAAAAAATCTCTCTAGTTTTGAAAAGACAAGTGGTTTGTATCCTAGATTGAAAACAGGACTCAAAAATTCAGTGATTGTTTGCGCTTCTGAATCCCTGTATTGCCTTGTGCAGTGCCTTGTCCTGCTTAAATCAGGACAGTTTTGTGAGCAGAGAGTCATCCCGAGCTCCTGTTGCAGTTAGCAGTAATCCAGCTAACAAAGACACTGGCAATCTACAGTTCGTTTCCTTGACTTAGATATTCAACACAGGTCAGGTGAATTTTAGCCTGAAAGTGCCTTGTTTTGCCTGTTGTCTACAGATGCCTAATTTTAAAGAAGGGGAATCCAATGAGGAGACCTTTGTGCTCCCGTTTGTCCACTAGTGAACTGTCTCCTTTTACCTGTCTGTGTGTGTTCTTTCTCCAGGCTTGAGCAACGAGAGCTGGTCGATTATGAAGAACATGGCGACAGAGCTTGGCATCATCTTGATCGGGTATTTCACCCTTGTCCCAGCCATCCAGGTGAGTGTTTGGAGTTTGCAGGACAGAGCCTTGCAGGCACTGTAGGAATGCTGTGTGCAACGTTCAGCTCCCCTCTCTGGCTGATGAGGATAAGGGTCTGTCAGTGGGAAACACATACATCTGTAGAACGTGGATGCCTCCAGGAGCTGGCCTTCTGTCCAGCAGCTGCCCCTGGATCCCCAGTTGGATCCTTCCAGTAACTGGGCTTATGCATTCAGTTCATCCAGTAGTTGGCCTTGGATCCTTGTGCTCCCCAGTTGGCTCTGAGTCATCCTGCAGCCCCACAGTCCCTCTGGCACTTGGTCTGGAGCCCCTGGATCATCTGGTAACCAACTACCTCCAGCTGTCTCGCTCACGGACACGCACATACTCGGCTCCCAGGCCTCTGCCCCTGCTCACCAGCTGCCATTTGGGATCACACACTGGCGTGCATACTCTGACGTGCTCCAGTTGCTGGTGCTTAGACCCTGCTCGTTCCAGTTGCCGGCACCACAGACACAGGGGCTCGTACAGGACACGTGGGTTGGGAGATCCTCTCTCATTGACTCATCGTGGTGGCTGTCACCCCCAGAATGTGGGGCTGATCACTTTGCTGCGACAGCCCTGCGAGGAGCTGGAGCAGGAGCTCGTTTCTCTCCTGACCATCTGTCTGTGCTCCTTGTGTTTGCTAAAATGAGCTTTTTGTCGCAGAACTTAGCACTGCCTGGTGCCTCTGCTGTGGGGATGCCCTTATTCCAACCTAAAAGTGCCTTTTTGTGAGCTGGCTGATCCTCTTTCGAAGTGGATGAAAACAAAAAACCACCCTAGTGCAGAACATCTGCTCCGAGCGTTAGGGTGGACAGGACTGTCTCTTCAGGGCTGTTTGACCAGACTGATGAATCTGTAGGTGTTCCCAACCACAGACATCATTGTCTCTGTTTCGTGGGTGGGTGAACTGAAAGCTCGAGGTAGAATGATCTGTCATGGGTCATGCTGTTGGGTCTGCTTAGCACCGAAAACAGGGTCTTCTGCCTCGCCTTGTGTTACGTCCTGAGCTGCACAGTCGCCTTTTCAGGACTTGCTGAGTCGCATCAGGACGTTGACACCGGTCGATTTCTCATCCTTGACCAAGCAGAGCTTGTGCCTGGTGGGCTACGTGAACAAAAGTGCTGCTTAGACAAATCCTCATTGCCGGTTCCGTAAGCACCTCTGCAGCCCGACTGCAGGGAGGTGTCAGCCTGCTGCCTGTGGAAATTCCTAGCAAGCGACGACGGGAGCACCCCGGCATCTGCCTGATTGGAGGCTACTCTGGGCCCTCTCTAGGTGCTCGCTGGCCACGCGTGACCTCCGTGAAGAGGGATGGGTTGTGTATATCCTTACTGGGGACTCACCAGTAGAGACTGCAGATTAAAGCTTATTATAATAAACACTTATTATAACACTTCCCTGAAAGTGTTCAAGGCCAGGTTGGATGGGACTTTGGGCAACCTGGTGTAGTGGAGGGTGTCCCTGCCCATGGCAGGGGGGTTGGAACTAGATGATGAACACTGGAACAGGTTGCCCAGAAAGGTGGTGGATGCTCCATCCCTGGAGACGTTCAAGGCCAGGTTGGACGAGGCCCTGAGCAACCTGACCTAGTTGGAGATATCCCTGTTCCTTGCAGGGGGGTTGGACTAGATGACCTTTGAAGGTCCCTTCCAGCCCTAACCATTCTATGATTCTATGATCTTTAAGGTCCCTTCCAACCCAAACCATTCTAGGATTCTATAATTGAAGAAGATTAAATGTTCAGGTTGGACCGGAGCATTGCAGGCTGAGCTTCGCAGTCCCTGAGCTTCTCTCTCAGTATCCAAGAGGACAGCAAGAGAGGAGCTACAACAGCATTCCCCAGGCTACAGCCTATTGTGAGACCTATTGTGGCCTCATTTTTTGTATTCGAAGCTGATTGCAGAGATTGCTCAGCTCAAACACTGGCGTGGTCCATCCTTTGGATCTAAACTGGGCTCATTCATGCAGTGGATTAGCCCCTTCTGGCCTCTGTGTCATTGCTCCTCAGAAAGGGAAGCTTGACAGCGTCTGTGGAGCAAACCCTGCCGTGTGGATGGTGCTGGGACAGCGCAGGTTTTTGGGTCACTCTGCTGCAGAGGAGCTCGCAGGGTGCGCTGGTTGCTGCAGATAGAGGAGTGAGATGAAAGGGACGGGGCAGAGCCGTGTGACAGTGTCAGCAGAGCCATGGGGAGAGGTGGCACCATGCCCCCACCCCCGTGTTATCTCTGTTAAATTATTCCTCTTTATTACAGCGTTTTGACACATGTGATGACGTCTGTTCTCCATGTGATCCCTGTCTTTCCTTGGCTGCTTGCGTTTTCCAGAGGAAGAACCTCGCAGGGCTGCTGTCTGTTAAAAGAGGCTGGTGTATGCCCCTTATCTTCGTCCCTGAGAGCGAAGGACACTGGACGGATAACGAGCTCTGCTCGCGTTGCAGAGTCCAAGGAATCTGGCAGAAAGAGAACCAGGCTGCGTAAATCTGGCAGGGACCTGGGACCTTGGCTGCCAGAGGGAGCAGTGCCGTGCTGGGGTCGTTCAGGTGCTCTCTGGTTTCGGGAATACCAGAAGAGGGAGGCATTTGTTTGCTGAAGGCTCCCACCTGCCCCAAGGGCTGTAATGGGTCTCCTCGTTTTTCTCAGCTACTCCTTGGCAGTGCAGCTCGTTTAGCAGAAGGGAATTTACTATGTTTTCCGTGATTCTCCTCGTCCTAAAATGAGAGTTTGGTTTCAGATGAGAATTGTCCATTCACTTTAAATCCCTTATAATTGCAAGCAGCAATGAAATCCCCTTGCCTTGCGTTGCGGGTGGGCAGAGACCCCTGTCCTGCTGGTGCTGTTGAAGGTCCTGAGATGCTGCAGGGATGCGTGCCGAGCGCTCGTCCTGTGCTTCCCGTTGCTTATCCACCACCTTGTACTGGAGTTCATAGCCCAGTCCTGCACCCAGGGAAATCACTTGGGGTTTTACCACAGGGTGTGCAGTATCCAAGTATAAGAAGATTTTAGATTTCCAGGGCTAGCAGCTTCAGAGGTCTCTAATCCTACGTGGAGTAACTGGAGGTATTAACAGAATTAGTATCTCTCTCTGCAGAGCCTCCTGTTTGTGGAGTCTGTGCTGGCCGAGGTGTGGGTGAAATCCAGATGGATGTTGCTTTCCTTCTGGTTTTCTCCTTGAGAGAGGAACCTGTGTTGTGCCTCCATCCCTCTGCTTCCAAAACCTCCTGTCAAGATATCGGGGAAGGGGCTAAAGAGAAAAACCTGGTTTGGAGAGGGGCAGCTGACCTGGTGGGTTATCTCCTTTCATATCACCCTGATTTTTAAATAACAAGCAGTTAATTGCTTATCTTTTGACCACAGTTTGGACAGGATGGAGAGGCTGCCATGGTTTTTTGGAGGTTTTGGATAGCCTTTCCCACTGTCTCTTTTCATTTCACTGTGCTGATTTTGGCCTCCAGCCTTGTGCAAGAAGCCGGAGCAGACGTAGGAAGGAAGGGGACAAAAGAAATGAAGCTCCACGGCCTCTCTCCTTTGCCTAGGTGGATGTGCCCTGGCGTGGTCTGCAGGCAGGGAGAATGCTGTGCCCGGGGCACCAGCAGGCAGTGAGTGGCAGCGGGTGTGTGCCAGCTCCGTTCTGCAAGTGAGGGCCAGAATCTTTGATCTCTCCTTTAGCCTAAGGTTTTTACTCCTGCTTACGTTCAGCTTTCTTGGTCTCTCCGTGTTTACTGGATCCTTTTTGGGTCCTGACAGCTCCTGGCAGAAATTTGTACCTCCAAGGGGAACAAAACGCCTCTCAAAAATATTTTGATTCTGTGTTGCTGTGAAGTTTTGAGTGTGGTGGGGAAGGTGGGACGGCGCTTGGCACTAATGGGGATTAGAGTAAGAGCGTGCGTTTGTTTTATAGGGATAATCTGGGAGCTGACTGTGTTTCTCCTGCTGGGCAGAATCTTTTAATCCTTATTGCTGCAATGGCACCTGCTGGGAAAAGTGGAGCATTACAGCAGGTTTGGGAAACACTGACTTTTGCCAACGTTGTTGCCCATATACTTGGTGTTTAGAGACCTCTGGGGCTTTTCTTCCAGGGACATAGGAATGAAATTTGCCCGTCAAATTTACATGAGGCAAAAGTGCCATTTAAGCAGAAGTGGTTTAGCTGGAGCCCTGGAGAACGGCCACGAACAAGTGCACAGATGGACAGTGACTCCAGTGCTCTGTCTTTGGTTGGAGAGTGATTGATCCAGTTCCTGAGCAGCCTGTG